TAATCTAAGCTCTCACCTCAAGAATCTAGAAAAAGAACAGCAAAATAAAACGCCAGCAGAACAATGAAACTGAAAACAGAACAACAAAAGCAAAAACAAAACAAAAAAAATCAAAGAAGCAAAGAGCTGGCTCTCTAAAAGATTAATAAAATTGGCAAACCACTAGTAAGACTCAGAAAGAAAAAAAGAAGACAGAAGATAGAAGCTATGAAATGAAATGGGATATCATCAAAGATTCTACAGACATCAAAAGGATAATAAAATAATACTATGAACAATTCTACACACATAAATTTGACACTTAAATGAAATGGATCATTTCCTCAAAAAATATAAAGTGCCACAACTCACTAAATATAAAATAATTAATTCAAAAATTTCTATACCTATTAAGGAAATTGAATTCATAGTTTAAAAACTCACAAAAGGAAATATTTAGGAACAAATAGTTTTAATGAAGCATTCTACCGAAGATTTAAAGAAGAATTAACACCAATTAACAATCTCTTCCAGAAAATAGAAGCAGAGGAAGCATTTCCCAGTTTATTTTATAAAGCTAGAATTACCCCAATACCAAAACCAAACAATGACAATAGGAAGAAAAGAAAACTGTAGACTAATATTCCTCATGATGCAGCAATCTTTAAGTAAATATTAGCAAGTGGAATTTACCAATATATAAAAAGAATTATATACAATGACCACATGAGAGTTATCCCAGGGATGCAAAGCTGGTTGGATATTCATAAGTAATTTAATATAATCCATCACATTACAAGCTGAAGAGGAAAATTTACTTGTTCATATCAATTAATGAAGAAAAAGTATTTAACCTACTTTAACACACATTCATTATTTTTTTAATCTCAGAAATACAGGAGTAGATAATATCTTTCTTTACTTGATAAAGATCATCTACAAAAATCCTATGGCTAACATACTTGATTGTGAATGACCGAATAGTTTCTACCTACAATCAGGAACAAGGCAAGAATGTCCACTCTCACCACTCTTATTCACAGTGTTGGAAGTTCTAGACAGTGCAATAGGCATGAAAAAGGGAGATTAAAGGCATACAGATTGTGAAGTAAGAAATAAACAGTTCCCATTTGTAAGTGACATGATTGTCTATGTAGAAAATCACAAGGAATCTACAGAAAAACTTCTAGAATATGTGATTTCAGCAAATTAACAGAATACAGGACAAACAAACCAGTATCAATTATATTTCTACATACTCACAATGAACAGGTAATACCAAAAATATTGTTATTTTTATTATTATTATTATTTTGAGATGGAGTCTCGCTCTGTCACCCAGGCTGGAGTGCAGTGGCATGATCTCGGCTCACTGCAAGCTCCACCTCCTGGGTTCATGCCGTTCTCCTGCCTCAGCCTTCCCAGTAGCTGGGACTACAGGCACCCGCCACCACGCTCAGCTAATTTTTTGTATTTTTAGTATTTTTTGTATTTTTAGTAGAGACGGGGTTTCACCGTGTTAGCCAGGAAGGTCTCGATCTCCTGACCTCGTGATCAGCCCGCCTCGGCCTCCAAAAGTGCTGAGATTACAGGCATTAACCACTGTGCCTGGCCCAAAAATATAAATATATTATTTCCAATTACTCAAATACATGAAACACTTATGTGTAAATCTAACAAAACATGCAAGACTTGCAAGCTAAAAACTATGTAATGCTGGTGAATGACATCAAAGAAGATCTATTTAGTCTCTGTCTACATAGAGAGCAATACTGTTCATGGATTGGAAGACTCAACATAGTAAATATGTCAATTCTCCCCAAACTGATATACAAGTTTAACACAATTCCAATCAAAATTTTTGCAGATTATAGGTAGAATTATTCTAAAATTTACATGGAAAGGCAAAGGAACTAGAATATCTAAAATATTCTTTTTTCATATTATTATATTTTATTGCAGTATGTGTAGTGTATACTAACTTAAAGGGAAAAAATATAAACAAAATGAAAGATATGGAGGAAATGGCATCTTGCTTTAATCTTCAACTTAAGTTACCCTTAACAATTCATTTACACCATTATGCCAAATTGTAGTCATCCCTGCAGATCCATCTCTAGAGGAAAATCTAACTTGAATCATATGTTTCATATTTTGACTAGTTCATAGCATATCAATTAGCAACTTATGACTTGAAAATACTTTTTCTCGGTTGCATTTGACTACCTAAAATTCTACCGAGCATGCTGTTTAGCATGTCTTACTCCTCTGAAATCATCATCTACTTTCTAAAAATCAGAAAATTAGTTTGCTTGTGATTTGAAATTCAAAAAAGTTTGTAGAAAACACAGAAAGAATAAACTATGTAAAGTTTTATCCTTTTCTTCTCTCTAAAACAGCTACTTCGACAAAAAGAAGAGTAAGTGGATACTTTCTAACAACTCAAAACAAGAAAACCAAAATCAGAGGGTGCATGAATATATGTACACAGGTATGTACAGACTTAATCTCTATATTCCCCAAAACAGGCTTAAACAGGTAATCCCAGCATTCTAAATTCAGAAAGCAAAAATAAACAGTTTTGTTTCTAAATCAGCGGTATTACTAGCTGAAGTGTTTAGTAGAATACTGCAACTATAGATCAGCAGTACTTTGATGATATACCATTTAAGAAATCAAAATAATAAGCACATTCTTCTAACAGCAAAGAATTCTCCCACTTTTTATTTATTTTGACATATTGATATTTCCATAAACTTGCAAGTGGAAGATAAGCTGTTCAATAAAAGACTTCTTACATATATAATATACAGAAATTATTTTAGAAGTCTGTTCATGTAACAGATTATTTTGGCACTAACAGAAATTGTATACAATCCATCAGTTGTATGGCTAGAAATGAAACCATCACAAAACCAAGATACACAGGGCTTTCCTGCACTTAGTTTCAGGAAAAAGTTCCCAAGTAATTCTTTACTGTGTTAGAAGAATAAAGTACATTTGTCATAGTATACGTTATCGTATTCCCTCATAGCAGGGATTAAAGTTTTTAAATTAAACAATGTTCCCAGGTTTACTTCTGTCTGTACCTTCAGGAATAATCATATCACTGGTTACATACAATTCTCTCCTCATGCAAAAAAAAAAAAAACTGAAAAAACAAAAACCCTCAGTTAGTTGTTTTCTTAAGTCTAATTAAGCCAGACAAACTAATAATAGCAATTTAATTAGCAAGCTGTAAATCAGAGAGGTATAGAAATCCAGCAGTTAAACTGTATTTCCTGCCTATGGGGTACTGCTGCTACTCAATCTATTTTCTTCATGTATTAGAAGAATTAATAGACAGTGATGGTTAAAATAAGAATTTCAATATTGCCGCAAATGACATGAGAGAAAGACTTCCTAATGTGTGACAATCCTAATGATCCTTTAAAAGGTAAAGGATTGTGTGTATATGTGTGGAAAGGAGTAGGAAATAAAAGCAGGAGGTTAAGACAGATATTTAAAGGGAATGCCGAGATAGCTACATTACAATACTTATTTTTTTAAAAACTGAAGTCTGCCCAGCGTACCAAAAACATTTAAAAAAAAAAAAAAAAAGAGCAGACATCAGTGCAAGTTTAACCTGATAAAAAGCTAATTTTGTCGAGAAAAAGTCCAGTCCTTTCCTTATAAACACAAAGAAACGCAACAAGAATTTTAAAGGTAGTAGGCCAGAAAATGCAACAGTAACTCTTACAATCCTTTTCAATTAAACAGACAAATCAAGTTGAAGACAAGTGTTAAAATACTATTCAGCCTGAAGATTTATCAACCTATATATCCTGTTGTTCAATTGGCTTTTGATTTTAAAAAAATCAACAAACTTTATAAGAGCTACCACCACATTTAGAATGATGAAAATAAATTAGTTCCCCCCCAAAGATATTGTTGAACTTCTAAAGTATAAAAAGCTATATAATAT